GTAACTTTGAAGTCAAGCAGTGCGAAAGACTATCCAGTGATTGATTACGATTATTTTGGAAATGATGATGATGTGGAAATTATGTACAACGCAATCCAATATGCCTTGAAACTGAATGAAACCGAGGGTTTTAAACGTTTGGGAGCTTATCAACTGTATCCCTCGGTGCCAGATTGTGATCCTTACTATGATGCACTTTCCAAAGATTGGTGGATTTGTTCCATAAGATATTCTTGCGCTGCGGTAATTATATTAATTAACTGTTAATTATATTTCGACTTTTATCTAAATTTATTGTAGGGACTTCATATACTAGGAACTACCAGGTTTGGAGTGGACCCGGAAAAATCTGTGGTAGATCCCGACTTAAAAGTCCACGGTATTGAAAACTTACGAGTGGTAGACGCAGGAGTCATCCCGAGTGAAATATCTGGACACCTCAACGCATTTGTTGCTATGGTGGCTGAAAAAGCCGCGGATATTATTAAATCTGCACACCAATAAGCAAATATGGGATAATACTGTATTGGACGGGACTCAAAAATGTGTTATATTATTCATAATGTACATAATATTGGTTTTGGATTTGACAATACTCTTGTATTGTCGTAAATAAATAAAAATCAATAAAGCAAACGATTTAAACGTATTTTTTATAGTGCAGTAAGCAGCTGCGAGCCGCACACAAACAGAAGTTAAAAATTCAGATTGCACCGGTTGAAGCGAAAGGTATTTTTTGTTCAAATGTTCGCAATTTTTCTCTTGGAGTTGCTGAGAAGAAAAACAAAAAATGTTATGTAATGAACGAGTTTAATAAAACACGAGCTTGTTGACATCTTAGTTAAGAAACCTTTGGACTTTTGTTCAAGATATTTGCTTGCCCACAAACATTATCCTTTAAAGATTTTTATAAGTTTGGTAATTTTTGGTGAGTCAAATGAAATATATTACTATCAAGCATCTTGCTTACATAATGCCTGAATTACCATTCAAAATATAATAATTAGCCAAAATGCATAGGACATACACCCAGATGTGAAATTCCTGTTTGTCGCCTGTCTTTGTAAGAACTGGGAAATGACCGGGAGTCCATTTCATTTTTAATAAATGTAAGTACGATTCATCAAATAGATTTCCTTCGGTAACAATTAATTCTACTATTTGATTCCCCAGACTTCCAGCCCAAACGCTGAGCTTTCGGGGAAATTGCATATAACCTCTCGAAATACATGAGTGTTCTCATTATTCCAATATCTACAGTTATGCATATTTACACGGTCATCAAGGAAAAGAGATGATTTTCACTGACACAAATATTCTTTATCAAAATTATCGTCTTCTCGGAGTTCTTAGAAAATTCTCATTTTCTATGGAAACTACTTGCTTACTTTAGAACGTTCGGAATGGGCCCGCTAGAAAGATTTCTTCAAAAGAGCCAGTTTTTAAATTGAAGTGGTAGGATGTATATGTAAATTTTCACTGGAAACATGTTTTAACAATAATTTTCAACTTTTTTCTTGAACTTTTGAAACAACAAAGGGGTGACTCATAAAATACAACCCACACTGATTACAAATGTCCCCTTGATTAAATTACTTTTTCGGCAAAATTATTTTTTTACTACTTTAAATATAGGGGGTGGAAGGTTTGAAAATGAACCCATTATACCTATGAAGAGCAGAACAAATAACGAAAAGAAAATGAACCCAACCCACCAAACCCACTAAAACAAAACTGTATACATAGAATACTCAGGTTATTTTACTATCTCTGACAAGTTATATCTTGACGTTCTATACGCAAAATCCAATAAAACTAATATTCTATATTTGAAAAAGGCATTTGCTTGCGGCCCTTACTAATATTTTAAATCTAGTTGCTTGGGAAGGAATTGTAGAATTTAAAAGCTAAATAATGCAAAAATATGCACCCGATGTTGCATTTAATTTCACCATAGTCTGTGGGAAAATAGGACCAGATAAAAATCTACTAAATAAAGTAGCTATAAAATATGTTTTGCTAAAGATGGTCATGCAGGAGAATAAATGCTGAACTTCGCTTGTCTAAAGTCTTGAAAATAGTACTACGCGTAAGTGATTGTTTTTGAACAATCAGGACCATGTAATTGTTACCATAATATGAAATATCCGCAATCCTTTAATATTTCTCTACCAATTCTGTTACAAACACGTTTGCAAGTTACATGGAATCATAAATATGGCAGCTTGCTTCGGCCGCTT